ATTATCATTGCTAGCATAATTGAATTGATATCTAAAGAAATGACTTTTATTTTTTATATAAAATAAATTTGCCTCAGTTGACAATTGAGATGCCTCAGTTGTCGAAGCACAACATATATATGGAAAACTAACCCATAGAAGTTTTAAACCCATTTATAATATACGTTCTTTTATTACAATTAATTTATTAAAAATTAATATTTATTAATTAATTTCACAAAAATCAAAAAAAAAAATTGTCTAATTTACATATAAATTCGTATCTCATGAAATAAAATTTATTTTAAATTAAGTTTTCCTTTTGATTCATTGATTTATATTTTGACGGAAGTCGCTAATTAATTATTTTTTTTTAAAATATCTACATTAAATATAGCCAACTTAATTAAATTTTACATGTATGGTTTTTTATGGAATTATGTATTTATATACTCTCTGTATTTATAGCAGATCTTACTGCACCATTAAGAAACAGATTCGAATTTTTTTTTTTGATTTTCGATTCTAATTACAATCCATAAGCACAACGCATCATTATTTCATGATGAAGACGTTTTGTTATGAACTGTATTATGACAAAAAATTCTAAAAACTTGTTATTTAAATAATTAAATTTCGTTCATATTTAATGGTAAGAACGTATATTAAACATAAATATGCAAAAATACTATATTAATTATGAAAAATCATTTATTGTCTTTGAAATTAACGAGAACTCTCACTCCAAAATTAAAATTCGAAATATGAAATCGAAACATTTCAGAATAAAGAAGATTCTGATATATAAAAAATTTCTGAATATAAATTTTATTATTTGGAAGGTTTGCTATGAAAGTATGAAAATGAGAATTTTTTATTAGAATTTTGATTTTTATTGCATTTTAAATTTTGATGATATTAGATTAGATTAAAATGCAATAAGAATGATATTTTAGTCAAAAATTTCTTAGAACCCTAATTTCCTAGCCTCTCATTTGTATAATCGATTAAGGAAAATTTCGTGTTTTTTTCATTATCATTGGCAATTTTCTGTCGATTAAAATATTATCACTGCAATTTTCTTATTAGTCGCAGAAAGCTTTTACCACCATTCTGACATAGCATATTTGTCATTGGTATCTTATGTGCTTTATGATTAATCATATTTTTCCGATATATGCTGAACATGTCCCTTTCTGTGAAAGAAGGCATACATATTTACGTATTAGAGGATGCGATAACGATAAGTTGCAATTACAGTAGATGCATGTACGGTAGAAAGTAAAGTGCTTTATTAATAAAATACAAAGGATTCAACTATTATTGCCTCAGCGGCTTTCTATAATTTGCCTTAAGAGAGAGAAAGTTCCTAATTCTATCCTATCGAAATTCAAAGCAAAACCAAGTCTCTTTTATAATAAAATTTATAAATTTCTTCTATGTCACGGAATAACCTTAAAAAGTTCAACAAGTAAATTTATTTATATAATGTAAATTGAATAGTGATTTTTTTTATTGGATCAATTTCTTGGCATATGGAAAAACGAATTTGAACTGGTAAGTACTTGCTAAATATTATAGAACCAGTATAGCAAGATCTTATATTTTAAGGAATCGAGTAATCGTATCGTACGATCAATTCACACGATCATGTTTTCTATATATATCACTTTTCATGTGATGATGAAAAAAATTTTATAATTGGCGAAACACTAGCAGTTGAAATACTATTTTCTAAGGCTTCTATGGCGAATTTGTTATTTTTAAGCAGCAGCGCAGTTTGAGGTTTTTTTTTTTGTATATTCATAATTTTAAGAATCAAACATTCTTTCTTAGCACACATATTCAAAAACTTGAAAGTCAATGACTATAATTTACAAATTTAAACATTTTATATTATTTACTGATTGTATACGTCGTTCATATTTACCTCAGAATCACGAAAATTTTATACGAGTTAATACGAAGCCTTAATAGATGAAATATCTTCCAGAACTTTAGATTCAGATCATCATTATCGAAACTAACTCGTTATCTCATATTTTCTCTTTAAATTATTTCTATGCTAAAATCAATATTTTGATCAAAATTTACATTTATACGACAATTTTTTTATTATTTTACGTACACGAAATTCGAAATTAAAAAAATTCAAAATGGAACAACAATTATTTTTATTATAAATGGAAAATGAAATAAAAACCATGATTGTCAAAAATTTAATTGATATTTCAACATTAAATTAGGGTTTCCTAAATACCGAAGCTTATAATCACAGCATTATATAATCCAAATTATTGCATTTAGGGTTATGATTAGGGTTAGGGTGGTTATGTTAGGTTGTTTTGCCCACTATGTCCACTACGAGGCCAGGGTTTGAAATTAGGGTTATGTTAAGTTATGTTAAGTTTAGTTAGTTATTTTATTAGTAATGGACTTCCTTTGGATGATGAACAAATATTTTGCGAAATTGATTTGTACTAGTCGGGATGTTTTATTTCGCGAGATTAGCTTTGGGATTTCGTAAATTAACAGAATTACATATTTAAGCTATTAGAAAAAACGTTAACCAAAATAGATGAATCATTCTTTAGTCATTAAATTTATCCTCAAAAATAACTTGATACGAAGGTTTAATAAACCGGATATAATGAATTCAGAGGTTTGAATATATTCGGATAGTGTTTTTGTGTTGGCAAATTTTGATCCGGTGTTTCACCTAGAATTGAAGGTAACGAATGATACAATATGGGAGTATTGCCAGTTAAATCACTTACGAATCATATGATTTACTATATCTTATGACTTGATTTTACTGGAAACGATATTACGGAGTTCTTACTAAAGGGAATAGATCACTAATAATGACATTTATTACGATTCCATTGTGTAGTTGTTTATCACATGTGGAGTCCATATGAAGACAAAAGGAAGGTTTGAAAGTGTAAGGTACAATATTTCTATTAAACGTCTGTAAGTCCACCATCAAGACTTTACCACTGGTTTTTCTCATTATTTTTCGAGCGTAAATACTGTATACTTTTTTTAGATACTACGCATTTATGCTATAACAATAATACATATAAACTCACAATAATACAAACAATCAAAATTTAAATAACCTATTTTAAAAATAAAAACTAATTATGTCTAATGATAATTTTTATTACATGTCTACCAAATAAACATTGTTGCTATGTATGATTTTCATGACATTAAGCAGTACTGCGGTTAATCTCCGATGTAGCATTTGTAAGTTAACACCGGTTTCAAATCTAACCAGGGGAACCGGATTTATATCCAAAGGTCAGGTTACAACCTTTTGAGTCATTACTTGATAAATTGATATTATTTAAATTTAATTCTTACCTGATTCAAAAACCTTCCCCCTTTGTTTATAAACTCAAAGAACTGGTGAAATTATTGTAATTTTCCTAATCAATGAGGCCAGGCCTAACTATTCGAATATAAAAGAATCGGCTATTTCTTTGCCGGTGTAGCGGCCGGGATAGTAACGCCTCAATAATTTCTACAATAAAATTGTTGCAAAAAAAAGCCTTAACTCTATGCAATGAATACTTTAATAGTAAAAGAATATAAAAAACCCACTTAAAGTAAAAAACAATTAGCAACAATAAGCAAACCAATAAGAAAACAAGAGCATAAATAATATTTTGCAATTAATACATATTCTAACCCAAAAAATTTAAAGAAAGCAAAAGCCTAAACATAGCCAAAAATTAAAAAAAAAAATAAATTTTTTCCGAAAATTATCAATGAAGGATATAGAAATCTTACTAAATCACGGAATTTCGCAAAGCCAGCATAGCAATTTTCGAAAAAATTCCATCACAAAAAAAATGGGCATAATTACCTCATAATCCTTACATAAGTTTTCTTTTTTTGATTACCTTTCTCTAGGTTCATCTTTGGTTGGATCAATAAAAAAAATTTTTTTTTTGATTATTTCTTTTATTAGGCGAATCATTTGTGTTAGATGCAGCAATCTGCAGCAATTATTATAACTTCATTTTTATCCTTTTGCCTTTTGCCTTATGTATTTATTTTTTATTTAGTTTTGGTTTTCATTTATTTATTTTTGATCACCTTTTTTCTTTTGGCTTTTGGAACACATCAATATTATTAAAATGTATTTTTGAATTTATAATTTTATATCAAATAAGAAATTATATTATAATGCAATGCTGCGACATAAGATCTTTGGGCTACGTCTCAGACCTAATCCATAATGATCAATTGACGTTATCATAACTCGAGATTGGTTTACATAGTTAAATATTTGCTCAATGACAATTAATAATTACGTAAATGATAAATCATTTAAAAATATAAACTTTTACATTAGCATCTGATGTATCTGAAAATGTAGTCTAAATATTGTAAAATTTCTAAACATATACTTTAAAGTAAAGTCAATAAATACTATGAAAATTGTTATTTCAACAATATTAATTATCGGTAAAAGATTCTGTAGAAAAAAATCATCTTCATAATAATATAACATTAAAATAGATTTCCTTAACCAAGAATTATGATGATGTAATTGATCAATCTGAGTAAACTTTCTAACGAATATTTAAATACCAGAAATATCAATTATTGATGTCTATCATTTATTAAATTTAAAGTCGGTATTAGTTTATATTTAAATATTTAAATAATTCATTAAATTACCTTTTAAGTGTAATGAGCTAGAAATTTCTAATTCATGTAATTGAATTTTAAAATGGATTAAAATTAGTATTTATATTTTTATTATCGAAAATAAAATTTAGATAATACCTTCATTATTTTCATCTTTTTTAAGCTTTTCAAGATATGAAGTAATAAGAGACGAATTAATAAGTTTTATTAGATTTTTAAATGCAAATGCTCTACTTGTGTATACAGCATCTGGATTAGTTTTACGTGAAATTAAAATATTTGGTATATCTTTATCGGCTTCTTCAAATGCTTCCTTTATTTCTTTTCCGAAATATCCATATTTTTTAGTATATCCCTCAAAATCCTCAATAGAATCATACTAAAATTATAATATATTAATCAACTTCTTGCTTGTTAATCGTTGATTTGGATCTGCACTCATACATCTATAAGCCAATTCCTTATAAAATTCAGGAGTTCCTTTTCCAAATTCAGGACGAAGTCCATTACAAATATCTAAGGCTAAAGACACATCATGTTTTCTATCATAAAATGGAGGATTTCCAGTTGATAATTCAGCCATAATTATACCAAAACTGTAGATATCAGAAGATAAGGTATATGTTCCTCCATTCAAGACTTCTGGAGCAATATATGGTAATACTCCATATATTTGTCATTTGATTTTTGCTTATCTGCTAGTTCTGTTAATCCAAAATCTGAAACATAAGAAGATTGATGTTCATTTAGCAATATATTTCTATGAAAATCCTTATGACAATATCCTAAATTTTGTAAATTAGTAAGGTCTCGAGTAATACAAAATAATTTTTGAATTTTTTCATTCCATAAAATATTGTTAAAATTATTTGAAAGAGTATTTCTCAAATTTCCGTTACATAAAAATTGCACAATCATAATAAAATTCTTTGTTTTCTAGATCCTTAGTTATTCCATAAAAATTTAATAAAATATCTTTATCGGCATTAAAAAAATCCCAATGTGCTTTAAGCTAGTTTTTATAATATAATTTTAATTAAAATAAAAATATTTTTATTTGATAAATAATCAAATGAAAATGTAAATACCTCATTAAAATAATTGGCTGACATATTTTGTGATTCATTTAACCTTTTCAAAGCAACCTTCATAGGTTTAGGATCTAATTTTTTCCAACTTCCATCATGCTTTTTAAATATCGATTTACCATTAATTCATGTTGCTGAATACACTTTAGCGAATCCTCCTTCACCAATTTCTTTCATATCTATGAATCTATCAAAAGGCGCCCATTCAAGAAATATTGGATATTCTTTCTATCTTGCATTATACATAGTATCTTTGATGAATTTATCAATATCAGAATTTCTACTTGTCTATCCTTCAATTATACACCCAGAGTCACATTCTTTACACCATAATTTCTCTGTAAATGTTTTATCACAATAAGAACATTTATTATTTTCTGAGACATTTAATTTGTCAAATTCAGATTCTATTAGGTCTTGAAATTCATTTTTATGACTATTTTTATTTTTATAAAAGAAAATTTTTGGATAAATTTATTTAATTTATTCATTTTTTTAAAAGAATATCTTTTACATTTGTAATATTTAAATAATTTTTTCAATAAGGATATAAATGGAATTATCATGACTAAATTTGGATCAACGCAAACCAATGATCGTATACTGCGGTAATTATTAATTCTGGCCAAACTTTATAACGTTTATAACTTTAAATAACTATATTTAGAAATAATTAAATTTTGAGCTAAAGTATACATACAAAATATCTTACATATATGAATTAAACTATCTTTACCTTTAGTCAATAGAGAAATTTACTATGGTGATTTATTGTTCTACTTAAATAAAGCAAATGAGAAGATATTTTGTATTTGAAATTAACAAACAAAGTTTAGGAAATTATATTAAATGTCGATTATTTATACTTATAATAACTATTTAAGTTTGAGAAAATTAAATGTGTTGAATCAATAAAAAAGAAGTTTCTTTTATTACATAAATAGCCCCCTTCCCTAAAAATGAATATTTAAAATTTTGATTTAAAATGAATATTTTAAAATTAAATAATTTCATGTAATTTCCTTTGAATTTATTGGTGATAAAAGAGACTAGAATTAATATGAAGCTAATGGTGTTTTCGAGATATATTCTTCACGCCTTTTAGATTTTGAGCTTTGTAACCCATAATTATAATCTTACTAATATGAATAATAATATAAAATAAATAACAAAAATAATATAGGTCGTATGCTATTAAAATTAGGTTACAAGAAATAGTAAATCATATGATCCAAACATGAATACCTCCCATATAAAGATAAAAACTAGAAATTGCAGATAGAGGGGACTTCGTCCCCACGCAACTTATAAATCTACCCCATTCATTGCAGTGCAATTTACAAGAATGTTTTACTTATAAAATGAAAAGAACAAATAATTACTTGAAATACATATATAAATTGTTTGT